GAGCTCATCACAGAAATTATAGATGGGGGTGGGGGGAAGACAAAATGGAACTTTACATTCATTTTTAACCTACATACATATTCTCCAGTGAGTTCTCTCTAGACTTTCAAACTGCCAGCAAAACATGCATGATTATGCCTGAATTAGCAGACTAAGATTTTAAATAGACCGATTTGTTTATAATTTCACCATTCCTCATTATTTCTCATCGTGATCAACTGCATAAGAATAATATTGGAACGCTACTCAAGAACTTTCAAATATGATTTCTTAAAAGTTCTTTTTTTTTTTTTCTCCCCTCAGTCATTAGATACTTTAGACCTTTGCAGAGCTCCGCATTTTACCAGTATTAGATTTCCTTCCTGAAATGTTTACTGGACTCTCTTAGCCACATATCTTCTGTTAACATGCATATTTTCTGTTAATATGGAAACAAAACAGTAAAGAAATATCTTTCTTCTTCTTCTTTTGAAAAGCTGCTCTTCCTTTAAATAGGGCACTTAACTTTCCATACAAAGATCTTTTCTTTCACCCTTTCCAATTCTGTAAATTTAACTCATTTCAGCTCATGACCACTCTTTTATGCCCTTACTGTTCTCCAAGAATAGTTGGAAAAACCCCTACCATGGTTTATAAAGAAATCTAGATAAGAGTGAATGCCAAGAAATAAATTGTTAACACAGCACAAAAACGTGTGTGACTGGGGCAGGAGATTGACTGAAAATTATTACAGAAGACCCCACCCCTCCTTTAATATAATGTTTATTCTGATCCATAATTCTTTTAACAGTCAATGACAGATGTTTAAATAAATAAATACATGTAGGGTAATAATAATAGGCTTTCAAACTTCAGTTAGGATATATATATATATACACACACACACACATTTTGTTTATATATAAACAAAAGTTTATATATAAAACTTTTATTTATGTGTGTGTATACACACACACACACACGATTGATAAATCAATAGTAATTTTTTAATCAGTTTTACCATTCACAGATTTCTCCCTTCTCTTAGTTCTGCCTTTGGGCAATAAATATCCTTTGTTAAGAGTTCCGTGCAAGGAATTCACCAAAACTGCTTGCTCACAAAGAGGGTAGAAATAACACTTACTTGGCACAGCGAACCCAGTGAGTGTGCTGGGATATAGAAAAGAAAAGGCGCTGACGGTGAACACTCCATATTTTTATCGATTTATCATTGGATGCTGATACTAGAAAGTGGCCATCCTGTGAGAAGCTCACGCTACGAACAGGTGCTGTATGACCTTTTAGTACTGATGATTCTCCATGACTGGAGGAGGGAGGGGAAAAAAAAAAAAAAGTGTTTAATTATTTGGAAGACTACATCTCATCCAAGTTAAAAACAAGGTACGCTGGCTAAACTGTAGTGTTGCCAACAATTTTGCCTATTTGTAGAGCAAATACTAGAATGTAGACATTCAAGGTAATTATACATATTTAGATGACCAATTTTAGAATATAGTACAATTAAGTACCAGCATTTGCCTCCATATACTATTTGAAAAATAATGTAATTAAAGCTTTAAATACAGCAATCTGGGAAACGCGTAAGAGCTAGAGTAGTGCTAATCTTTCTAAGATCATTCTAATAGCTCATGATCACTACTACTTGAGAACAACAGTCTAAACAGAAAATCAAGTCTAATAACTTTTTTCAAGTGTTATTTTTGTTTTCTTGATAACTTGTCTCCCCAGAATGAGACCTAGTCACACAATTCTTATTAAAAGAAATACATCCTTTAAGCCAGAGAAATAGTACCAAGGGCAGTCCTACACATTGATGGAATTATGACCTCTGAATTGCTACACTTTTCCTTGGGAACTGCAGAACAACCTGGAGTAAAGAACTGTGTTGTTAGTGCTCCCCAATCTCTGTTTCTGACAAAGCCCAGTCAGGGATGTGGGAAGGAAACAGAAACATTTAACAAACAGTTCCTCCAATATTCACAGGGCACATAAGAAACAAAAACCCCCCACACAAACACACACACACACAATCACACAGACACACACACACCACATAACCAGCACTGCCCAGTTATACTCACATACAAGGAATCCATAGTCTGACAGTACGATCCTGAGAAGCCGAAGCAACTAGTTGCCCATCTGGTGAGAACTGTACACTGGTCACAGCTTCCACGTGCCCTACAAATCTGAACGCTCTGGACTGTGCCTTCAGCTTCCATATCATAAGAAACCTATCCAAAGAAGAGGTAGCTGGCAAGAAATAATTAAAAGATATTATCTATCTATCAAAGCAAATCATTAGCTAAGTGGAAATCATACCATTGGTCCCAGGTATTGAGCAAACTGGCTTATAAAGCACTTTAAAAATAAAAAATAGAATAAAATCAAGAAACTCAACATCATGCACATCATTATGTATCAGTCCAGACCTATTATTACTTAATATTCAGAACAAAACAGAACACAGTTTGCAATAAGTTCAGTGTATCACAATGTTCAGTATTTCACTCTGATCTCCAAGACAGGATATTTTTAAAGCTCCAACTATTTAACTCAAGGAGACGCCGACTCAAAGAACTAATTGAAGATACCATTTCTAATACTTTAGATGCCTGAATTGAAATGAATATCCAAATATGATGACTCTGAAACTCTATTTAAATACCACCTTTTTATTGCTAGTATTTGTCTAGCTCAAAATTAGAATGTGAAGTTTTTTTGCCTGTTAATAGAAAGAACTAGATTAAAAAAAAAAAATTTTTTATTACAGTCAACTTGTAAGATGATAACATCACCTACATTTAAGGTGGCACACATAGCTTTTCACCAGAGCTTGATCATTTTCAAGAAACTATAGGCAGCAAAAGCAATGAGCAGCTGAATTAAACTGATAAGCCAGATATTCCTAAGCTGCTATCATCTTCATCTCTCCTAAGTGCTAGCATGCAGGACACCCCATAAAGGGATGAAAAAAGGGGGGATTCATGCTTCCCACCCCCCTGCATTATAAGATTCCTACTCCTAGTACAAAAAGAGAGGGAAAGAAGAACAGTGACCTCCTAGAAACTGGAAAGGACATGAAGGAAAGGAAAGTAAGTCCTTTTCCCCAACACCTATTCCAGGCACCAGCACAGCACAAACACCAGTAGAAGAAGGAAAGGAGTCTACTTGTTGGTACATACATCATGGCAAGACTCGAACAAAAGATCAGATGTTAAAACTCTCCACAGAGATTTTGCTCAGTTATTTACTTCAAAAAATATTGTTTTCTGCTAAAAGATGGTGGACCAGACTATCCTTACACCCATATCAGTAGGCCTGAATTTGACACACAAATATAGGATATTTCTTCTCCTTCAGCTTTTCAAAGCTGCTTATTTTATAGCAAGCTCTTTCTAATTGTACTTGCATGATTTTTTTCCCCCCTCCGATTCAGAAATACGTGATCTACAGCTGCATAAAACAGATAGAAGGAAAAAGTAAAATAAAAGTCAAAGTAGAATTTGAAGGCATCATCTTATAAAAGTGAAACAGAAAAAGATTGGTGGTTTCTAAAATAAGTAATGCATGAATCACCGATTATCAGTGGAACACAAAGGGGTACCTCGCGAACTGCTGACAGGCCATGCAATACCAGCCCTCTTTGCTTGCTAAAACTGAAGGAAATATTTTAAAAGAAGATAGTGCAGTACATTCAAAGCCTGGGTTTCCTGTAGCTCGCTCTCTCACAGACGGATGATGAGATGCAAGCAATGATCTAAAGGTTTTCATTTCTATTGCCTAAACTCTTACTAGATCCTCCCTCAATCTTTATCTAGGTTGCTCTTCAATTCACCTCTCCATTATCAAGGCACTTAACGGCTGTTGTATGGGATACCACCCTTCAAACCTAGTTAGCAGTAGCTCCTAAGGTCAAAGAGCAGACACTGCCCATGAAAGGGAGAGAGATTGACTGAACAGCAGTGCAATTATTTTCCTAAGGCACGCAGGCTAATGCAAATCTACATTTGAAAAGCAGGGGAGAAACATAAATCCAGGATGCAAAACTCTAGGCCAAAATTCTTCATCTTCCATTTTAGCCCCTATCCCCCAAAAGGAAATTAGGTCTGCTTAAATTTAAGGAGTCTCAACCAAGTAGCCTCTTTCCACTCGAGCAGACTGAAATTAACTTTGGTGTGTATGGACAAGGTCTAAGCACTTTGGTGTAAAGGCAAATATTATTTCAGGCTTTTTCCATTATTTTATCTTATTTCACTACAGGTACACACTCTCTAAATACGAGAGCCCACAGGGTAACATTACTACCAGCTATAATTTCCATTATCGATACTAATTTTTTAAATAGTTTAATACATGAAAAATGCAGTAAGTTACTATTACCAAATAAACTTCTATTTCTCTTTTCATTCCATTTTAAGGGATTTTGTTTTCTTTGTAAGAATGTTTCTCCAATTTACTCAAGCACAATATTTTAAGAATTATTTCTTATTCCTTTTATGCATTTTTTTTAATCTCAAGCTCATATTGTACATGCATGCTGTTCAAAAAGAAAGGAGCAAGAATCTTTCAAGATAAACTACACACTGTGCTCTACATCAATACAGACCAGACCCAGTTATGTTCTGTCAGCACATGATAAACATGCCAGTACCCTGCAGTCTGATTTTTAATTGCCAGGCCACCAGTAAAAGGTCCACAAACAGATCTCCAAAGCTATATTACAGTAGTAGAATTGAAACACAACAGAAATATGGACGTCTTGAATGATTTTTAAAGAAAGCCTATAGCACAGATAGGGCTGTTGCATACAGCCCTCACAGAAAACACAGTATAATTAGAACTGTGCTTAGAAATGAAAGTCAAAACATTTTGTCCATGATGCAACAATAATGGTATTCAACAAACTTCAAAAAAACCACCAGAAAGAAAAACCGAAAATGCACACCAGATTGATTCCAATATGCAACATAGTCCAGTTTTTAATCTCAGTCTCTTCTGTGAACATTCAAGCATAGTTAAGGTATCTCAAAACAGAAAAAGGAAGAATTAAGTGCTGATAAAGTTTATCTGGACAATTTATTTTTCCTTATATAAGTCATAACAGAACTGATCAACAAAAAATGAAGAACATATTATGCAAAGGCTGAGTTTGCGCACTGTTCTGAGCAGTTCTTTAAACAGGTATCTGGGCTTCCTATGCCAAGAAAAAAATGCAGCATTTGTAATGATACAAATTTAGTTTATACTTTTAAATTGTCTATACTGATCATATAAATCATACGTATAACAAAGACATAAAGCATCGTAATATGGCATTACCGTTACATTCCCATTTCCCAAAACACCACGCTTGTGAATATAACTAAGTTCTGCCAAAGACCAAAAGGTACAGTCATCCAGACTTTAACAGCTAAATGTACGACCACTCGGTCATACATTTCGTTGCAAGTGTTGAAGCATCACCAACATAACTAACTCGCACAGGGCACGAACTACAGGTGAGATGGAATACCAGGATGTGTGCAGGTATGGGTGTGAATATGAAAACAAATAAAAAAAAAAAAATCAAACTTTGATGGAACTTTATAAATCTTACTGTGATAAGCTACAAAGTAACAATGCAAACATATTTGACAATGATTCTGAGGATTTCCTACCAGGAGGAAAAAAAAAAAAAAATTAACTTAACCCCTCCCCCCAGTCAAGGGACATAATCTGGGATTTTAAATATAGTGGACAAATTATGACATATCTTTAATAGGCTTAATGATATTCATGGCAGTTTCACTGTATGCTGTATATACTTATACAAATGGAAGAGAATAAATAATAAAAAACCCAACACAACAGCACTTAGTCAATATTCAGTTATCATTTTGAATTTTATTTTTCAAAAGAAACCCCAAACCCTCCCACATTCATTCAGTGTTGAATTTACATTCAATTTTTTTTAAGTGACTTAAAAAAATCAGTAGTTTAAAATATATACAAATGTTTCCCAAATTCTCTAACACAATATAAAAATATTCCAGAGTTTCAGATTTTCCAGAAATCTTTTACACACTGAAAAACATTTGGATTAAAGTATTTCTGTAGCATTGCTACAATTAAGTTTAATGCTAGCTGAACTTGGAATGGTAGCTTTACTCCCTCCCTCCATCTCTCTCTTTCTCTCTCTCCCCCCCTTCCCCAGCCACCTACCACAATTATTATTTTGTTTAAATTGTTCCTATCGGGAGGAAATAATATATATATTTTTAAGGGTCAGGTGATTTACTTCTGCTCTATATTTTTTTTTTTGCTTTGGTGTTTTTAAACAACCAAAAATAGATTGGGATGTGGTGGGGCAAAGGAGGAAGGGTTCAGAACCATGCAGAGAAGAGGTCTTCAAACTTTAACAGATGGGTTCACCTAGATTCTTTTGCTCATATAGCACTTTGAATGTCATATTTAGCACGTAAGGAGCTCTTTACACAAAATCTAGTTTTTGCCGAGTCTTAAAGAAAATTTAAAATCGTATAAAAAGCTGCATAGTTGATATTCACACTGCTGAATTACTTTCATCTGAGGAAGCATGCATTGCATATACAACTGATGACTGCTATGTAGAAGTACCTGCATCTTTTTCCTCTTGTTTCTATGTAACGTAACAGTTAACAGCAAGCTTTTCACAAAAGCACATACTTGGTATAATTTCCTGCCCCCGTACATAATGGGTGGCCGTCTTTTTAAAGGTTGATAAATGATTCATAACTTGCAGGTCTACACAAGAATTCCTTGTCACAATAGGAAAACTGCATTTTCTGGGAATGCCTCCTTTATAGAGTAAAGGATTTTTCCATTTTTCCTCAAAAATCAGCTTAGAAAAAAAAGTCAAATTGCAAGTAACTCTTTAAATAAGTTATCAAGGCTTAAAACAACCCATGCCACACAGTGGCAAACATTTTTACTGTGATTCAGCACTACATCCCCAGACTCAAATTTTCCTCCTGTGTTCCCCTTCTATTTTAGCCTGTTTTAATTTGCTTGTCAGTAGTCATCCGAATCTTTCGGCTCTTTCCAATCACTTAGATTCAAATGCGTATCTTAATTTACTTTTGCTTTGTCTTTCTGTGGCAAATCCTTACTCATTTCAGGTGTCATTTGCTTCCTTTTAACTCTTTTACCTACCAAGGCCTACAGCAAACTTAAACGTACTTACATTCCTCAAGTGTGCTTATCCACATTCTTATTGCTCACCAGCTCAAGTTCCTGCCTACCAGTCCAATGTCAATATTTACTATATCGTGGCTGCTGAAAACATCTATTACTTCAATGAAAGTAATCAAAAAAAGCTGGAATACCTGAAACATTAAGGTAACTGTTCAACTCAATAATATATGGGCAAAAACATAGATACTAAAACAAGATTTTTTTCAAGTACACAACGTACCGATCACATCTACTGTCTGTAATCACACTCAGACACAAGAAGACGAGTTAGTGACACCGTTCAAGCACCAATATTCTTCAGCACTTAGCATAACGGGATACAGAATACTACTACATGCGTTCAAAATAAGATGTCCTGTGAGCCACCTAACAAACCCTGGTTTCCCAAGATTTGTCTTTTGCCTCTTAAATTTTCCATGCCTCAGTAACTCCAACTTCACCCAAGTCTCCTGTGACACTGCTATGACTAGAAGGAAGCAGCATACGCTGCAATTATTTCAAAGCTCCACCTATGGTATAGGGCCTGCCAGCTGTTGCCAAAATACAGTACGTGTGGAAACATAAGATAGCCTAACTTTTCCTTTGCGTTTCCCTCCTTCACCCCGCTGCCAGTTCAAAACTTGTACAAGTGCTTGCAAGATGTAATCAAAATTTGCTCTGAGCTGGGAAAATTGATACATGGTACAGTCGTATAAGCTCTGTATCCCTAGGAAGCCAAGCTTAACGTGGAAGAGCTTAGACAAAGACTAGGTAAATAATAAATATATAACTAAGAAACAGTAGTAGCTAATGCAAGTCTGCACTCTTTGCTTCACCAGTAACAACAGAACTCCTACTTCTAACCATCCCTATTTCTTTTCACTTATTTTCTGTAGTGTGTCCTTGTTTCCACTGCTGCTACCTTCTCGTTTCTAAACATACGAAGATTCCTGAGTCACCCTTGCCAGATCAGCATTCCCACACAGGGGCAGGACTGCAAGGTATTTGTATGAAAATTCACCAGTAAAATTACATAATATTCCAAGGCCAGAATCCAGAAAGCAGATTCTGCTTTCCGCATCAAAGTCAACTCATCCTCATGCTACCGTAGCATTGTTTAGTGTGTTAGATACACATGTTATAACGCAGCTGCACAACAGGTTGGTTAATATTGCTGCAAGAACCTTAGCTTTTACTTCTGAAGGTATAAATTCTTTACTTTTACAAAATAGATGATCTTGCAGGTTTGGTGCTTAAAAAAAAAAAACAAACCCTCTTCAGCCCACTAAACAGGCCTTGTTTTCCCAGAATCAAGGCAGGTCAAAACAAGAAAATAACGAATCAACACTCTACAAAAATAAAAAGCCCTAGATCTGGGCTTAATGTTTTAGAAACTAAACCCCACTATTTACTTTTGTTTTTCCATACAGTTCACTGCACTAAACAGTTTCTACATCACTGCAGGGAAGACACTTCTGAAGACATTCACGATCAAATGTTGCCCTTTGCCCACCATGTATGTAAAAGCCTTGGTGATTATAGTCCATTTGATTCTTACTACCAGTAACCATTACTCTTCAAACTTCCAAATCTGATTTTTATCTGCAGAATTACAAGTTCTCATTTCCACGTCAGGACGCCCCTCAGTTGTACGATAAGCACTAAGGCACTTTCCGGACTGCGGATGATAAATAGTCCCGTCGTCTTTGAAATGCCAAATAATGTTTTCTGGGATAGGAGATTCATCTTTTGGGCAGCTCCTCATACCAACGAGATCTTGGTCAGTGACTTCGGCACATAGTTCAGTTACAGAGTTAAACCTAATCTCCTTATTCGATGTGTATTCGAAAAACTGATTGCCTCCTTGACCATGACATCCAAAGAGAGAAAGGTGAGCCCCTGTAGGATTATGCTCTGGTAAAGCATAGTCTAGGCATTCTGACGAAATGCCTATGCTGCGGATAGCACCATGCCAGCCAGGACGATCTTCCGGTACATGCAACTCTGAAAATATGTTTTTCAAATACCATTTAAAACTCCTGCATTTCAGACGTTCCCTTAGTAGCTTTCTTTCAGATATGTCTCCATAGTTTTCTTTTCTTGCTGAAGGATTTCTGTTGTAAAAGTGTTCTTTATACTCATCCATCCACACCTCAGCAGCACGTGCTGTGTTCTGAAGGAAGTTTGGTCTAGCATACGGTGCACGCTTCGGAAACACATGGCCTACATGGGAGCATGGATGAATCTCCAAAATGCCTCCACACTGCCAAACCCTAAATGACAATTCTAAGTTCTCCCCTCCCCAAACATCCATTCCTGTATCATATGTACCCAGGTACTCAAAATACTTCTTGCTGACAGCAAACAAACCACCAGCCATAGTTGGAGATCTGATGGGGTCAGTTTCAGATTTGCGCCTTAGACGTTCATGCTTCGGCACAGAGTGCCACTGAAACGTCAACCGCCAGTCAAAACCCCCGATCATGGGCTCTGTTGTTTGCATGTAGTATTCAAACGTGTTCCAGTCAATGGTGTCTATAACAGGACAAATAATAACAGTCTCATTCTCAGCAATCCTCTCAAGCAGTGGTTCTAACCAACCTGAGACACACTCACAGTGACAGTCTAGAAATGTAAGGACATCACCAGTAGCAAAGGTTGCTCCAATTAAGCGTGCACGAACTAATCCTTCTCGTTTGTTGGTTCTTATCAAGCGAACTCTTTTCAGGTTGCTTATGTATTTTTCAAGGTCAGCCTTCAAATATACTTTATCACTCAAGTCATCGACTAATATAATTTCTTTCAGAAGCACTGAAGGAGATGTTTCAAGAACACTATGTATTGTCCGCAGCAACGTTGACCACGCTTCATTGTAAAAAGCGATTATGACAGACGTGGTGGGCAGTCTTCTGTAGTTGTAAAATTTGGTCTTACATTCACCCATTCGATTATCCTCAATGTGCCGATGGAAAGAGATTTTATCACTCACATAAATATTAATCGCATACTTTTCAACAAGCTCTGCCTCCTGTTTCTTCTCCTCAGGACTCAGCTGCAGGCGAGTGGGCTTACCCCATTCTCCTGGGGCATGGGAGTCGGGCGGGGATTTGTCATAAACCGGACGAGCCAAATCCACAGCCTCGCTCGCTCTGTCGGAAAAGTGCCTCTCCCATTTCCCGCTGGCGATGCTGCCCCCAGCGAGGGAGGCACCCAAGGAAGAAACGGACAGCTCGACCGCAAAGTAAGCGGCCGTCAAGAGGCCAAGCAAGACGCAGCCTCTGCCGACCCACGTCCACCTTCTGGCCAGACGGATCCT